AGCGAAACACTTCAGTCTTATCAAATCATTAACATTGATTCCAGTCTTAATGGAACCATTTGTTTTTCATTTGGAAACATTATAGTTATCAAGCATTTTGACTAGCGTATATAGCATGTAGTAAAAAGGCTTTTACATAGCAAAGTTCTTTACCTCATGAACAAATTATGCTGCTTCTCCTCATGAAGGATACATGGCCCTGCTCCAAAGAATTGAGTATTTAAAAATTAAAAAAATTTCAAAGCTGACACAAAGTATTTGGTGAAAAAAAACCTGTTCTTTGAGAAATATTTGGATAATAAAAGCAAACTCTTGTGAACACAATAAACAGATTTCAGTTAGGCATAATTGGATTTAGTTATTGGTTGTACTCAGTCATGCTGGAATTTTTTCTCCTAATGCCTGTGTGCTCTACACTACTTAAGTATGATGTGAGATAATATGAAATGGTGTATTGACGGCACAAGGAAAATATTTGGATGGCTGTCTGCAGTTGCCATTATTGGCTTTAATTATGACTTGCTGTCCTTTGGGTACTAAATGGGCCAGAAAAGGCTTCATATGTGCCAAAGTATTCATTAGTATTCCCCTTTCTGTCATTGTACTTGCAGGAAAAGTTTATATCTGGCACCTGACTGCAGTTCTTATTAGCACGGACCAAGATGCTTTGCAGATTTTGATAATCATCTGAAAGTACACCAGTGTCTCTACTTTTTGGATACAGTAGAAGTTGTTTCTAGGTAACAGTGGCACTTTCTGATGTAATGAGAGAACAAACATTTTTTGCAGTCCTCCATGTGATGTGGCTGCTTAACGTAAGTTTTGTGGTACCAACTGGAGAAAGAAAAAGAATTACTTGCTTCCCTCTTCCAGGTTAGGGGACCTGCACTAGGACTTTATGGGAAAGCGCTTGTATATCAGCACTTTAGGCCCCATGCCACCATTCCGTGTAGCACTAATAATGGAGCCACAAAAATCTTTCTGAGATAAAAACAGCCTTTGGAATCTACTTTGGAAATAAAAAATTGTCTATAGTGAAGTATTTTTTCTTTGCCATAGGGTGTCTCTAGGGTAGGTACAAAACAAAATAATAACTCATAAAGAATATTCCCTGAACTCTTCTGACACTTGACTGTGGAGGCTCTGCTGAGAATGGTGACCACTCCTTTGGCATCCACTCTTGAACAGACTGGTGGACAAGGATGAATTCCTGCTCCAGTACATATTTACCATTGCAAAACTTAATTTTAGTTTAGAGCCTTGTTTGAACTGAACTTGCAGTCATGTTTTAAGCAGCGTTTGAAATGCTGGCCTGTGGGACACCAAACTGTTCTTAGGAATGAATACTTTAACTAAGGTGGTGTGTAAACAGATGCTCCTGATTTTGCAGGCATTTGGTGACATCTTCCACTTCTCATCTGTCACATTAGAGCATAAGCTGGCCTTGACCTAAGCACACAGCTCTTCTTGAACTTGTAGGACTTTAAGAGGATGCTTACTTTCATGGGCCGATACTGTTTCACAGTCCTGTTCTCCCTGAAACCTCAGGAGTTTCAAAATCCTCACAGTCCTCAGAGATTTAAATCTAGTTCATGTATGGATTTCAACTACTGTTTAAAGGTTAGTGCTCAACGTTTTGCTTTGTGGGATGTTCATAGTGAAAAGATGCTTAGCCAAAGTTCTTCAGTAATGTCCTCTGCTTGGGTGGGAGGAGGAGCTTTCACCTGGACAACTCTCACCTGGGGCAGGTGCAGAAATGGAGGAGGAGGGAGAATGCTGTCTCTATATGCCTTAGCCCTTACAGACCAGTTCCCCAAAACCTGGAACTCAGTTTGGGATATGGGGTTAACTGTGC